CCACAATGGTTGGAGGCAGCATGTTAGAGATGATTGGAAAGGATTTAACCGGGGGGGGGGGGTGTTTCGCGGGGATTTTCTTTTTTTTTTTAGGATTTGAATTTTATGGATGGTATATATGAAGGTTAGGGTCGGTGGGTGGGTTTTGGTTTTGAGAGATACACGATGTCGGGGTTTTTTTTTGATTGAGTGCCGGGCGAGGGGGTATACGATCGTCAGAATGCGATGCTCAGATTTCGAAATTATGGTGCGTTGTCCGCGTTATCGTCGTTCTTCGAAATATGATGAGGGTTGTTAGGAAAAATGGATATCGAGTTCCGCCTGAGACATATCTGCTATAGGATAGCGCGAATTCAGATCGCCTACCTCAACATCGGCTTCGTGTCTTCATATTTAAGTCAATATGAAGTTTTCAGAGCGCATTGGGGTCGTTGAGAATTGATATACATAGCTAGTTGGTATAAGTATTCCTATAGAACATTAGCCAGCGAGCGGGATTTCATACATACCTTTGTCAAATCTGCAGCTTCAAGAGATTTCTATCCACGCATCTTTGCTGAAATTAATGCCACTCGCACTCCTCTCCGCCTATGTGGTCTCGCTAAGTATGGCGGAAAAGGTCAAGTCATTACAGCCTGATCGGAGTCGGGCCTTACAAGGTACAAGTGCAAGGACCAGAACGGTGGCTCGGACCCATATGCGCCAACTCAGAACCGCTTCGTAGCTTGTGGTAGAGCTGGCTCGAATGACAAGGCGGAAGATTTTTGTCATGGTCGCTGAATGGACACTTGCAACTGTGAATGCTTTGCTGACTCAAGTATGAGGTGGGTGGTCTGGAAGACATGCATAGTCTCAGTGCACAGATCACTCGCATAGCCGGCCAATGGTTCGTGTGTAGCCTTGGCAGCCCGGGTGAATGTTGTGATACGTCGCAACAACGGTCATTGCACCGCACTTCTCTTGCCAGTTTGTCCTTTCACTCCACCACGAAAGCCGCATCATCACCGCCATAGCCTTTCTGCCTTTCTGCCGTTCTCCATAGCCTCATGCTCGCAGCATGACTTTCGCCCTACGGAGCATGTGCCGCTGTCGGGCTCGCGGAAATCGACCGTCGGCCAGAGCGGCAATGCAAGGAAGGGAGGGCATTGGGCGGGGCATCTGCCTCCGACACTGCTTGCCGTGATGAGCTAGCACGCATATCCATATCAGCTTGCGGAAGGTGAGCACGAGATGACTAAGTGCCATTGTGAGAAAGACTGTTTTTCAATCCATCCTCTCTTCTGTTCACGAGTGCTACCAGTAGAGTCCAGAATCAGCGACAGTCCCACAGCGTAACCATGTACACAGCTTCGTTCGCCTTCTTCGAGGCCTTGTGGGACGTAAGTGGAAGAGACACAGACGGTATCGTGACAAGCTACTGATATGTCAAACCAGGCAGGCGTCACACATGTTTTCGTCAACCTGGGATCCGACCATCCATCCATCATCGAAGCCATCGTGAAGGGCCAAAATGAAAAGCAAGGACAGTTTCCGAAGATAATCACATGTCCGAACGAGATGGTGGCCCTGTCGATGGCAGACGGCTACGCGAGACTCACAAACAAGCCTCAAGCCGTGGTCATCCATGTCGATGTCGGTACACAGGGTCTAGGTGCAGCAGTTCACAATGCGAGCTGTGGAAGAGCGCCGGTGCTGATCTTCGCCGGTCTTTCGCCATACACGATCGAAGGAGAATATCGAGGGTCAAGAACAGAGTACATCCACTGGATCCAAGATGTGCCAGATCAGAAGTCCATCGTGGCTCAGTACTGCAGGTACACGGGCGAGATCAAGCGAGGCAAGAACGTCAAACAGCTCGTCAACCGAGCTTTGAGCTTTGCCGTGTCAGAACCAAGAGGCCCGGTCTATCTGTGCGGCGCAAGAGAAGCTATGGAAGAGGAGATTGAGCCGTATTCGGTCAAGCAAGAGCATTGGACACCGGTCGAGCTGGGTGGCTTGAACACGCGACAGTTAGAGCAGGTTAGCAAAGCTTTGGTTGAAGCGAAAGAGCCACTGGTGATCACAGGCTACTCGGGTCGAAATCCTCGTACCGTGGATGCGCTCGTGCACCTTGCGGATACCGTGAAGGGCCTTCGAGTACTGGAGACTGGCGGCAGCGATCTATGCTTTCCCCACAATCATCCCGCTTCGCTCGGGCTACGATATGGCAACGATGAAAGCATCAGAACCGCCGACACGATTCTTGTTCTCGACTGCGATGTGCCTTGGATCCCCACACTGTGCAGGCCTCGCCCGGATGCAAAAATCTTCCACATCGACGTCGACACGCTCAAGCAACAAATGCCCGTCTTCTACATTGACGCTATCGCGAGATATAAAGTCGACTCGGAGACAGCCATCGCGCAGATCGTTGGATACATCAAGTTGACCATGCAAGACATTGTGAGCTCACAGATTTTCGAGGATAGATGGACAGCACTTCAAGCATCCTATAACGCTCGACTGGAGAAGATCGCTGCTCAGGCGAAGCTGGGCAATGATGGCACTTTTGGCCCCGCATACCTCGCTCGCCAGGTCCGCGATGCGTGTCCGCCAGACACAATCTGGGCCATTGAAGCCGTCACCAACGGACCGACCGTCACAGATCAAATCCGACCCACGATCCCAAACTCGTACATAAATTGCGGTGGTGGAGGTTTAGGCTGGTCAGGAGGCGGCGCCCTCGGCATCAAACTCGCAACCGACTTCGAAGCAGGCGGCATCAACAAAGGCAAATTCGTCTGCCAAATCGTAGGCGACGGAACATACCTCTTCTCCGTCCCCGGAAGCGTATACTGGATCGCACAACGCTACAACATCCCCATATTAACCATCGTCCTCAACAACCAAGGCTGGAACGCTCCACGAAAATCTCTCGAACTCGTACATCCGCATGGCGAGGGCTCGAAAGTCGACAATAAGGCTTTGAATATCTCGTTCGCTCCTACGCCGGATTATTCGGGAATTGCGAAGGCTGCGTCGGGTCATAAGGCTTGGGCTGGTGTGGCGGGTACGGCGGAGGATTTGGCGAGGCTTTTACCGGAAGCTGTTGCTGCGGTTCAGAGTGGGGTTTGTGCGGTGCTTGATGCGCATTTAGATGGGCCGGAGGGGAAGTATCCTGGGCCTCAGGCGGCGTTGGTGGGCTGATGCAACGTCCATTGTCGAGCTGATTGATGCTGTAACGGTTGATGCGTGGGATGTCTGCGTAGAGGCAAGATTTATATATATAAGCCTAATCGAAGCTTAGCGCAAGCTTAGAATACTTCTCTTGATGCTCCATCACTGTCTGTCTCCATCGATAGTCTCTCAATCAGCATCATGAACGCTCACCTATAATATGTGGATGGCGCCTCGCTGTCGAAAATGGCGGAGAAGGCAGTACATATCCATCTTTCAAAAGAAATTCTAATTTCAGAAATGGGACATGTAACGACCAATTCCTTTCCATTTCCATTCCATTCCATATCGCTAAGCTCGACGACTTTTCTATTCTGTTGCAAAGTCTGTACCTCCCATCATCGCTGCCTGCCTGACGCCATGACGCCCAACTTCCAACGTCGCTCAGCTTCGAGCTCAAGCCACACCACCAACGAGCAATTGTGCAAGACCCTCTTCTTCACTCCTTGCTGTAATCTTGACTGTTACCCCAGACTTGGCACTGTATGCCATCCGTACCGTGCTGGCAACCTTGCCGCCGGTGACGGACTTGCCATAAAGCTTGAGCGTGTGCGTGGATGTTGACAGCGCGACTTCCGTGCCTTCGAGAGGCTGCATGCCAAGAGTCTTGATCAGCATTTCGACGGCATCCGTAATGGCCTTGGCATTCGACAGCTGTAATGTCTCAGATGCCTCGGTCTCAATAGGTAGGCCAGAAAAGATGTTGTCAAATGAGCCAGCGAAGGCAGGAAGTATGTAGTCGGCACCAGAGAGCTCGAGATCCTCGACCTGATACTCGTCTTCGTATCCGCCCTCCTCTGGCTCGCCTGTTGAGGGATCCATTTCCTTGAGCGTGAATTTGAGGACGTTGGTAAAAGATGCTGCGACGGGCTGGTCTGCAGGTCTTGTGAAGGACACGTAGACGGTACCTGGCTCGTCGGTCTTGAGAAGCTCGGCGGGGATGATGAATCCATCATCGACAAGCGGCGACTCCTCTTCCTCCTCGGAGCCGGAAGGTGTGCAGATGACCGTGACGTCGGAGAGGACGTAGTCGGCGAGAGTGTTCTTGATGTTGAACTGAAGCACGACATGCTCTTTGAACAAGTGCTTGACGGCGCTGACCACATATTCGGTTTCTGATTCGGTAAGGTCGATAACAGGCGAGCTCTTGAGCACGCCGCCGTATGAGGAGAATTCGGGAATGGCTTGCAGTTGCGAGGCATAGTTCTGTGTGGCAGCAGTGGCGGTCTCGGCGACTTGTGCTGCAGATGCATCGGTCTTCTTTGGTCCAACGGTAGGCGCCTTGAGGGTTGGCGTGGCGGTTGTGAGCTTCTTCTGTCGGTCCTCGGCGAGAGACTGTTCTCGTGATACAATCGGGACGTTCGAGAAGTCGAAAGGATTTGCAAAGGCCTCCGCGCTGCCACCATTGACGTAGTGCGCGAGTTGGTCTTCAAGGACAGGCAGGGAGAACATGGAGTCTAGAGAATGTCAGTCAACTGCGGCAAGACCATGAACATCGACCCAGCTCACCGTTTCGCACGAATTTGGCTGCGACCTCATCATCTTCCTCCTTCATCAGGCGAAGATTGAGGGCAGCACGGTCACGAACTTCGTCGTCAGTATCGTCCAAACATCGAGTGAGCAGCACGCCAACACTGCGCTTGACTTCTGGATCCTTCTGACCCACGCCGAACTTGGCCAATGCAGTAACAGCAGCAGCTCTCACGATCGCATTCTCCAGCACGACTCGGTTGTAGATGTATCGGATGTACTTGGTTGGCTGCATGGTCTTTGGTCCTTCCATTCCCAGCACGTGCAATATTCGGACGGCAAGCTTCGTAAACTCGCAGTCCTCAATGAACTCGCAGAGATGCGCAAGAGCTTCTTCTTTGCTTTCTGGGACGAACTTGATCAGATCGAAGATGCTCTCAACGACTGCACGCTTGAAGTCGTAGCCACCCTCCTCGCGCAAGATTCCAGACAAAAAAGCCAGCATACGTGCTTGCTTGGAGGGGAACTTCAAGCACAGAGTTCGGATGGCCTCGACTATGGTGACTTTGAACTCGTCGGTGATCTCGGACATGAAAGTGCTGATCTGGGTCATGAGGCGGTCGACCGAGGACTCATTTCCAGTCTTGAGAAGAGTAGTGATGGCAAAGGTTGCAATTGAGCGGTTTGAGTTGGAGATGAGGGATTCGATGTCTGGGTTACATTGTCGTACTGCGTCTGGCTTGAACGAGGCGAATTGGTGGAGGATTCGAATGGCGGCGAATTTGGTGACTGCTCGTGGAGATGTGAGGAAGAGCTGCAGGACGTGGATCGCTTGGCCAATCTCGGCATCTGTGAGGTCGGACATATCGCAGATGGCCTTGGCGGCTTCAAAGTTGACCATCTCGCTCTTGTCCCGCAGCCATTCATCCAGCAACTTCATCATTGGCTTTCTCAAACTCGGGTCGTCCTCCGCAAGCTTGGCTGCCAGTCGCACAAGCATGACTCGGCCAGCTGGGCTCTTGACCACACCAGCCGCACTATACTGCTGCACCATCTTGACCAAAGCCATGCGATCGTGCGAGCGCATCTGATAAAGCAGACCAATTGCATGGTATTGTGTCATGTAGTTTGTGTTCGCAGCAGCTAGGTTGTGTGCTGAGCCTCCAAAGCCCATAAATCCTCCTGAGGATTTAGCTGAGCTGGCAGCCTCCTGTGTCTCGCTCTGCCATCTCCGGACGATATCCCTGGCGATTGGTAGTAGGTGGTAGGAGCTGACCAGTGCTGCGGAGGAGACTGAAGGCGTCTTGTCCACAATAGCAGTCTTGATATTGCGCTCAATTGCTTGGACGGTACTGGCGTCGATTATGCGGCATAGCGCTCGAATGGCATTCGCTCGGTAGACAACATCGCTCCCTACCGCGGTATCCTTCATGATACTGCTCGTGACCATGATGACATCTTCGGCGGTGTTGGCCAGCTCCTTGATGACCAGATATACCATCTGTCGGAGGGAGGCATCTTTGTTCTGGAACAGCTTAGAGATGGCGAAGAAAAGGGTGGTGGCTTCGTTGGTTGGGAACTTCTCGCCGGTGAAGAGGAGGAGTGCGATTTTGGTAAGGAGGATTCGACATCTTCGAGGCGACACGGGCGATGTGTTGAAGACTCGGGCTGTATGGAGAAATGGATATAGTCAGAAATCAAGGCGGAAATAGGGATAGCTGGCATAGCATTCGGGTCGGGGAGCAGCTCACCTTCTTGGAAGACGGAAGTCCTGTCGACCTTCACGATTCCCGCGTCGTCTTCGTCCTTTTTGTATTGCGCCATGGCCATGTTGGGAGGGATGTTGATTTCTCCTTTACCAGTGCATCGCCGAGATATAATTCATAGAACTGCTGCTAGAACTACCAAACGCTGGCTCTGGGGAAACAGCGACGTTGCGGGAGGGAGGCTTGGCATGCGGCTCCGAAAGTCAATCTGAACCAAAGTCACTGCCTACAACGACACGTAAAAGAGTGCACACTCTCCTCACCCTAACCCACACCCAATACAATGAATATGGACATGCCAGTCAACGTCCCTGTGGACGATCCGAACGCCGACACAGAATGGTAATAATCCTCAGTCACTTCTCTGCCAAAATGGTACAGTGTTGCGTCGCGCAAGCTAGAATGGTTCACCAATACTGAGTCTCGGTCCTCAGGAACGACATCTTGCGGAAACATGGTGTCATACCAGAGAAACCACCGTCGCCGACACCTGCCATAGAGGAGGCCTTAGTCCAGGCACGCGAGCTGGCACATGAGCACAGATTAGAGGGAAAGGACCTGGATGAGCTGGACGAGCTGGAGGATGACGAAGATGAAGCATTCCTCGACCAGTATCGGCAGAAAAGGCTGAATGAACTGGCGACACTACAGCAAGCGAGCGTCTACAACCAGGTCTATCCAGTGCAGAAACCAGAGTATTCGAAGGAAGTCACCGAGGAGTCGAGCAAGGCCTTCGTGCTTGTCTTGCTCACCTCATCAACTGGCACAAATCCAGAGTCTCAGCTCATGATTGAGCTGTGGCGAGACTTGGCCAGGAAGTTTGGCGATATCAAATTCTGCCAGATGCAGGCCAATCTCTGCATAGAAGGATATCCCGATCGCAACACACCGACTGTGCTGGCATACAAGGATGGTGAGATCAAGAGGCAGTTGGTGACCTTGAAAGAGCTCAATGGCGTCAAAACGTCCATAGCGGACATGGAAAAGATACTGCTTGGCCTGGGAGCACTGCAGCACAACGACTCGCGTCTCAAGAAGAAGGAGGAGGATGCTGAAGAGGTGCCGAGGAGAGGCATATATCAGAGCACGAAGAAGAAAGATGATGACGACGATAGCGACTGGGACTGAGGCGCATGCCGGCCACGAGAAGGACCTTCTCTCTGCTTTCCAAGAGCGATAGCGTCTGGCTATGCAACGCACCAAACCCAATCTTCCACACGTCGTTCTCTCTGAGTACATCCCGAAAGTCTCACGCCTCATGGGCGCCTTCTCTTCGCATCACGAACCCACTGGAAAGTGACACAAGCGCTCTGCCACCGCTACAATGCAGCAGCAAACTGCACACGCTTAGATATTAGACGACGGCTTGTGCTCTAGAAAATGGGAAACCACAAAACAACGCTAACAACCTATACAGTCGCATATCACACTATACTCCCGTCAATCATTATTCGATGATCGTTTGGAATGCTGAATCGTCTCGGGACGTATTGCCATCGCAAGCATTTGTACCCAATACTTGGCACAAATTCACACTCACACTCACACTCACACCCACCTAGGGCTAACATGTGAGCACAGCTTGCACGTGTGAACGAAGCATGCATGTGAGTATCGGAACTTGCATGTGAAGCGTTGAGTTGGCCTCCTGACACATGCCATGCGGGTAAGAATGACTTGACTTCGACCACTTTCCAATCTGCAATGCAACATCTTCCACGCCACATCCAAACAACATCCAGCGCTTCAACATCTACCTGCCTACACCACATCCAAACGTCATCCAGCACTTCAACATCCACCTACAATACTACACTTACATTGCTGAGACATCATGGATTCGGACAGCCACGCTCTAAACGACATCGACATGCCCGAGTACCCAGCGCCTCAAGTGTACTCTAGTCGCCATTTGGACCCAAGTATCCTTGAGCTCGACGCCAACCAAGCCGTCGCACTTGGACTTCCGGCAGTGCCACTCCAACGCTTGCCATTTGACGATGATTGCGGCGGCTCGAGATGGGTAGAGAAAGAGGACTTTGAGAATGCTCACCACCGTGACTTGTTCCGACTTCCAACGCTTAACGAAGCCAGTACGAAATTGTCCACCTCGGCAGAACGTGAGGAAGACGTCAACGTTGACAAGGTCATTGGCGAAACTCAGCAGCTTGGGACAGGCGCTCGCCAAGACTCAGTCTTCGAAAGGTACAAAAGGCGGCAGGATTTTGACGAAGATAGCGTGATGATGGGTCAACCTGAGAACAATCAAGACACCGCCCGGGTCCGGAAACGCATAAAGCGAGATCATCAACTCGCTAGTCCGACCACAGCCAATTCTCTCTATACTCAACAAGTCAATCTCAAGTTAGAGGCTAAAGGATCTCAGCATGGCTCTCAAACCGACCCGATCACGATCGAGGACGAAGAAGACGCTCCTCAACCTACCCTAAACATATCTCAGTCAGATCCAGACATTATCGACTCCGAACCCGACGAGGGCGATGCCACTAGCACCATCACCACCAACCCCTCTTCCTCCCGCGCCCCACCAGGCACCTGGACCACAGAACTCCGCAGCCTGATCAACGAGCTCCGTCGTCCCAACGGCCCCTTCAACACCAACGGAATCTCGTGCGCGAAGATCATCAAGGCCCTCTATCCAAATTTCACACTCTCTCACTTGTCTGATCAAGAGCTTGCCAAGAGAGTCAATGCGCAATGGAAGGAAAGAGACTATCCGAACAAAGCAGATTGGGTTCGGATTCGTGGAATGCGGCAGCAAGATGCGCAGCTGAGAGATGATCTTAGGGCCAGAGTCAGAGGGACGGGGATTTTGAGTTGAATTGAATTGGAGGCGGGTAGAGGGGTGATTTTGCTTTGATTGTGCTTTGGAATGCTTTTGAAATGGCCTTATTGATAAGTACGATAGAACTTATCCAGCTACGCCTACGTATATTTAATAGTTCCATCAGCCCCACCCTGTTGCTCGGCGATCGTCCGTAAATTGGGGAGATTCATCACTGGCAAACGCAGCATACGAATCCAAGAGTTCAATCATAGCGTCCCGCACCTCAGTCTGGAGTTTCATTGCTCTGTCTCGTGCGGTCTTCCCAAGAGAATCTCTAATCAGCGGGTTTGCCCCGTAATCAAGTAAAATCCTTGCAATGTCGAGTTTTCCGCGCTCCACAGCTTCGTGCAAAGGTGTACCTAGGCCGAAAGCTCTTTGCAAGAAATAACACTCTAAACCCTGGTACATGACGTTATTGATCGGAGGCTTCTTGTCCAGAATCAGCTGGACAACCTCGTCCTGATCTTGCATGTCCCTTCGAGCGGCGTAATGAAGCAGTTGGCCGAATGAAATCGAGCCTCCACGGCTGAAGAGGAGTTTGATTACATCCATGGGCGCGCTCTGAACAGCTACAGAAAGTGGGGTCAGGTCAAGATCACAGACTGTGTTGGGGTCTGCACCATGGTCTAGAAACCATAGTGTCAAGTTGTAGTCCGATACAACCATCCTACGTGATGATGTTAGATGCAAAGCCCAAGTTCGTTAAATGAAGGTGCAAAACCTTATGCCATAGCGGATGGATACGCAGGTCCTAACTTCGAGTTGATAGCCCAGCCATAAGTCAATAGAATCTCGAGGATTTCGGTATTTTGAGTGTATGTTGCGATCTTAATGTGCTCTTCCACTATCTTCACTTTTCTAGAAAGGAGGAATGTGACGGCTTCAGCGTGCTGATGCTCAATCGCAAAGTGGAGAGATCTCCCAGGTGCCTTAAGGTAGTTTTCCGCTCCATGGAGTGTCGAAAGCTCGAGCATGGCGACCTCGAGCGCGACTAAATCCCCATGGAGTGATGCATCTTCTGCCCTGTTGATGGCGTCGAGTACTGAGTCATTGATACCGGCATCGATCGGAACGTATTCCATCCTGGCATGGAAGTCCAGTTGCGCAAGTGCTTGCTGCACGTCAGACATGATGGCGAGTATGATGGCTGTGCCGAAGCTGGAGGGGTTGATGTGAAAGACGAGGTGGGCGAGCTTGCGGTTTTTACAGCTTCTAGACATCAATTCTCGCGGGACCGAGAGCATTGAGACACAGATTCGCCTGAGCCACTTCAAAGGCTGTTTAAGGATCTTGCATTCAACTCTCTCAAATTCGGAAGCAAGTATTAGCAAGACGTAGTCTAGTTTGGAAGACTTGGGCCCGCTCTTTGTCCAAACAATCCTTTAAAACGGCGTTGAATTTGTGCATGTCAATTCTGGCTCGAGAGATCTTAGGTTAGAGCTAAAGATAAATTCATGGACACACTTCAGAGATTGATGCTTTTTAATGTGGCACACTTTAGCGCTCACTTGATGTCGAAGGTAGGTAGATTTCTTGTTTCGCTCGTGCAGGAGGCATCGCAAGCGGACAATGAGAAAAGGAGAGCGCCCTTCTTCCGAAGACCCCATGGACGAGCTTTGTGTGTTTACGGTGGCCAAAGAGTCTTGGATAGCGGTGCTGTGGAAGAACAACAGAGTCGACGACAAATTCAGCTTCAAAGTTCGGATCGCTCCTCATGTGTCATCTCGTCCACACAAGGATGTCGTCGTCTCAACATGAAGGCAACACTGTGACGTATTTAGCACACGCACGAGTCAGTCTTCATAACCATAACTTCGTACCTGTTGCCCTTCACTTGCCTTTGCCAAGACTCTTATAACTTCAATTCTCTTCCACAAAAAAAGCAACAGCCAACTTAAGACACTCCCAGTCCCCCACTGATACCTTGTCTGAAAAGGCGAACGCAATGATTTCTAGAAAACCTCCATTTCTTTCTCGCCATTGAAATCCGAAACACCTGACACAGACACCCTGGTCTTAAAACGTATGAGAGCATAATCATTAACGGTCAGTGCCTCGAATTACGACACAGCGATCGTCAGGACTGTGAACAATCGCGGACGAGTTGGGCTGAAGTTGTATTGTAGTGTATGGTTCATCCTAGGTTTGTAGTCAGTAGTCAGTAGTCATCTGCGGTAGGAAAAGTTTCATGAGAGAATGGGATAATGCGACATTCCAAGGAAAGCATATCTTGAAGATGTGAAATCTCTGCTCTTCGCTTCTCGCGCTCTTCTTCCTTTCGCAAATTTCCTTGTGGCTCCGCTGTCGACTGCACCATCAACGCATCATATCAACGAACACCGAAAGCAAAAGTCGGAAGCTTGGAAGACTCGTCATCATGCGTACCACAATCGCGACACTCCTGTTACTCTCAGCAGGCAGTTTGGTAGCAGCAGACGCTTCACCCGACGACCGACCAGGCGGTGCTGCTAACATCGAAAACGCCATCACATCTTACCTTTCGCAAACGACACTGCCACCGGCAGTGACATCCCTTGCCAACGCTTTGAACTCAGCAGGCGTGACAGGACCAGTTGTCATCAACCTGAGTGCCACCGGAGGAGACTCAGGAGAGTCATCAAGTGCAAGGCAAACCGGAGACAGGACGAGAGATTCGGAGGGTGTGGCTGCTGCAACTCCAGCTCCACAATTCTTGATGGCCGGTGCCATGGGCGCAGTTGGAGCGGCCGTACTTGGGATGATTTGAGGAGGGCGACAGTATGTTGAGCAAAGGTTGGCCGTTTTAGGCCCGACTAGAGGGGGTGCCTTCACGGGTAATGTGCATGAAGCGAAGGTGTTCGGTGGTATTTGGCGTTTTTGGCTTGATCCGACGGGCTATGTAGCAGGGTGAGATACGGTATGCTTCGATTCCCAATTGTATTCATCGTTTTCCAGGAGCAATCGCGACAGAAGTTCTTTGTAGCAAGGGGTTTGAAGTCGCGATACACCCAAGACGATAATTAGATGTCTCCACAAGACCATGATTTGGCCTGTTTTGTCTCGCATTTCGCGCTCGCAAGATTGCTGTCTTATTCACATCATGTCAAGAACACCTTGTGATAATTGCCGATGGATTTGCGTACTGGCCAAGGCAGCTGCCAGCGCCAGGCTCGTCGCGTTTTTAGTAACTCTCACCTTCGAGTGGACGATGACAGCTATATCACGGTCTTGCCAGCAGCGCCGTACAGTGCTCCCCAAGCATACCATAAGGTAGAGGCTGCTGCTTGCGAGCTTCGAGGTAGCTGTCAAGATCGTCAGCGTTGAGGCTCTACACCTACATACCCTTGCGGATCTGCTTGTTGTCGGCCGAGCTCGCTACAGTACCTGCCAGCAGCTATCACACCTCATCATGCTACAGTATCGCTTCCCAGCGCATATGTTGTCAATGCATCCATGTTGAACATGGAACAGCTCTCGTGGAGATGAGGAGTGCAGATCCGTACCATACGCCAAAGCTATGCAATATTCTTTAGATGTGGATTGGCTGCCAACCTTGGCCGGTGCGTCTGTCGGCTTACTCGTAAAAAATGGGTATCTTGGTGCTGGTTGTGCGGCCAAGGCGTCTACCTCCGAGAGAGGAACTACACCGCTTTTTTAGTAGTTTCTTAGCCTTTGGTCCTCTGTTTTATATATAGAATCCTCTACTATCCTATAGATATCGTATCGACGGTTTTCTAGTAGTATAGACCCTTCTTAGGTATTATCACGTATACTATACGTCTTACTAAAATCGATAGTAGCCTATAGAAGGTTCTAAAGTCCTCTTTCGCTAAGGGCTATACTTCTAAGTAGAGAATTGCCGAGACTCGAGTCCTAATAACTATAAGGTTAGTATATCGCTATTAGGTTAAATAGCGCCTATTTAGAGAGTTATATCTACCTAATTATAGTACTAAGAAGGGTAGTAGAAGGCTTTTGCTAGCGGTAGAAGAAGAGTAGCTTTTTAACCTTCTTTACGATAAACCGTATACCTTTTTCTTTAAAATAATCTAATCTCTTATTAAAACGAGTTTCTACGACTTTAGCTAGTTAATAAAGGTAGTAAGGGTATTAATTTAAAGCCGAGTATACTCTATATAGTACTAAAGAAGATATAGGGTTAGACTCGTAGAAGGTAGTAGATTAAGGCGAAGGAAGGAAACCTATTACTTTAAGCGTTATAGGTTATTAGATATATAAAGTAGCCGGTTAATCGATTAGTATTTATTAATAAGACTACCTATAATTAGAAGACTAGTTAGCGTAAGTATAGATAGTTACCTAAAGAAATAGCTTGTATCTAGTACTAATATACTAAGCGAGAAGTAAGGTAGTTAATCCTACTAGTATTTACTATATACGGCTATATACTATATACGTACGTATACTAAGGTAGTAAGGTTTAATTAATAGCGAGCGCTTTTAAATCTAGCTAGTCGAAGAAGCGCTACTATACCTTAAAGATAGTCTACCTATTATCCTATAATCTTTATTATAGAGTTATAGATAATACTAGTATTTACTACGTTACGGAAACTTTTTTACTAATCGCGACGATCCTATCGATAGGATCGCTTAGGATCCTTAGGATCCTTAGGATCGTACGTTAAAGATCTTGTCTAATAGGATCGTCGCGATCTAGAAATTCTAGCAAATCTAATCGTAGTTAGAATTTTATTCTTTACCGTCCGACTCGTATATCGAGTTAGGCTTAAGTCGTCGTAGGTGCTAGTACTAGTATTTGAATTATATTTTCTATCGGATCTGTATATTATACGATTATTACTTCTACTAATATCTAACGTTTATACGTATACTCGGGTAACTACTATTATTTATATACGTCTACTACGTATACTAAGTTAGTACCGACTTAGCGACCGACTCGTATAGTATTAATAGATTTCGTTATATTATATAGGGCATCTATTTATTACGGTTAATAAGAATGTATTCTATTCGTCCTCTACGGCTATATTAAAGCGATATACCTCTACCTTCTTTCGTTTGTTTCCTTTCGACTTCTTCTTCTCTTTTACTATATATCTCCTAATTCTTCGATCCTACGTCTCCTCGTTAAATACTATCTCCTTAACTTTGCCGCCGTCCGCCTCTATATCCGCCTACTATATCTACTCCCCCTTTTCTAGCCCTAATATATCCCTAACGCGATTACTTACCGCCGCGAATAAAGTCTTGTCTATTATATAAGACTAGTTAGAATACCTACTGTTCTTATAGTAATTAGCGCGTAATCCTTCCCTATTATTATTACCGCGGTATATCTATACCTTTTATATTAATTGTCTTTAGTTCTATTATATTCTATTGTCTCGGTTATACTTATACCGTTGCCTCCTCGTACCGAAGTAAACGGATTAGTAGCCTCCGTCGGCTCCTAATCTATCGCTTAGAAACTACTCTATAGTATAGGTAGTCTAATATCGTTTTTCTTAGGTAGGGCCTCTGCCTCCGCTAACTTATCTATTATATTATCGCCGGCTTTAAGTTGTTTACTTAATTGTTACCCGGTAGACGCTTTAGGACCTATCGATTATATTAGTAGGTAAGAGAAATACGGCGCTCGTAGACTACTCTTACTATAGCGCTCGATCGATCCGCCTTTATCGTCGGAATCTAAAACGACGTCGATTGCTATAAGTATATCGATATCGTTACGTACGCTCTCGAAGTTATTTACTAATAATTTAGGGGTATCCTATACTCTGCCTATATACTGTATATATATCTTCTACGCTTTCGATAACCGAAGGTTACGAGTAGATTAATCCGTCGCATTCTACGTAGTTATCCGATCTAGGAACGGCTAGTATATTAACTTATAATCTAAGGCTAGCTAGATCGCTTTACCTCTAACTTTAGTTAAATACGACTCTATCGACTATCCGGTTAGTATTCTACTAAGTACCGTAGCGGTAGATAATATTATAAAAGGGGTAACTTTATAGTAGTACTATTTAATATGTGTCTTCTAGCCTCGCCGATCCTACCGGAGTAGTATACCCGCTCGACATTTGTATATAAGCTTACTAAGGTAGCGCGTAGTATATATCGACCGTTAGCTATTATCTAGTAACTATACTATTTAAGAGAGGGTTTTACTAGTTTCTCGTTATAGTACTCGAAGATTTAGTTATCGAGTATCCTCTTAGCGTATACTATCCTTTTTAGAGTATTAGTTATTGCGATCGGTACTTAGTTTATTAAGGTCGATCGGATATAGGTATTAATATAGCCTCGCTCCTTTCGTATAGCTTCTCGTAACTATTCTAATATTAGTCTCGATGCTATTATATTAGGATCTCTACCGACTGCTTAGACTACGTCTCTCGACGGTATATAGCTATCCGGCTATAGCACTATTATACGTAAAGCTAGTAATCGATCGTAGTTTTTACTATATACCTCCTTAATTGTTTCGTCTACCTATACTAGGGTTTAAATAGTAGGAAACATCGTCTTATATCCTCTAGCCCTAGTTAACGTAATAGCGAATAGTTTATAACGCGTCTCGTTATATAAGATTTGCTCCCTTACTTTAAGTAAGCCCTTCTTTCGATTTAAACGTTCTTTACTAGAAGTCGTTAAGCCTTTGTCTCGCTTCTTACGTCGTTTTAATAGCTTTATATCGTCGCTCTAATCTGCCCTATCGTCGCCGTACTTCCGTTTTAGCCTTACCGGATCTTTGCTATTCTTGCCCTTATACTAGTTACGTTAGTCCTCTATCGCCGTACTCTAGTATACGTTACCTTTATAAATTTCGATCTAATACTAGTCGCTATATATAAACGAGTCTCCTCTCTGTTTTCTTCTTCGAATCTAGTATCCCTATCCGACTCTATCGAGTTAGATAACGACTTAGTTCTATATTTATCTTCTTCGTAGTTGCGACCTATCCTAAGTATATTATAACGAGTAGTAGTATTATTGCGAATCTAACGTAGTATATATTAGACTATACGCGTCTTCGTGCTTGTTTACTCTTCGAAAAGGGGGGTATTAAATTGCGGTTTTATCTTCTACTCCTATATAGACTACCCGAGTCGCTATCTATAATCGCTTATTAGTCCTATCGGATATGCCCCGCTAACGCTAAAGCATAATCGTAGCCTATAGACTGTTCGCTATTTTCGTATCTTATCGACGCTAGCCCGATTCGGTCGCGAGTCGGATTCGGGAACTATTAATCTAGTGCTATTATTAGTCTAGCGGTAATTATTCTAGTCTATACCGACGGTATATAGCAACACTATCGACATTATACTAAAGCAATCGGCGTATTTAGACTATTTATTCCTCGCTCGGTCGCTACTACGGTATATATAGATATATATTCTTTATCGGTAAATTAATTAGCGTTAGCTAATCCGCTAGGTCGAATATATACCTTCGAAGCCGCCTCGTAGTATTACGGGTTAGTTAGAACTATCTCTATCGGCGTATTTAGCTAATTCGAGGTTAATAACACCGTAGAGGCCCTATACTCGATAGATGTAATTCGAAATAGATTAGCTAGAGGTATATAATCTACCCTAGCCTAACGACTGCTAGTCGTAGCCGATTTAGCCTTTCCTTAATTATCGCGCTACCCCGAGTCCGCTATCGCTATAGCGCAATTAGGGTACTTAAATATAGGCCGAGATTAAATAGATAAAGGAAGAGATCGCGGCGCTTAAGACTACTATACGTAATATGCTTACTATATATTAGTATAAATTGCCTAAGAGAAGAAATAGCAGCGAATAACTAGAGACGAAGGGAAGACAGTTAAGAAGGAAGGGAGGACGAATAGAAAGCACTATATACTAGGGCAGAGGAGGTACTAAAGGCGGAAGATAGAAGAACCCCTAAGAGGGCATATAGGATAATAATCTTAGAACTCCTTAGAGGACTGAAAGCAATCTACAACTAGGCAAGCTACGTAATTATAAAGGTAGCTAATATAGTTGTAGCAAAGATTACGAAGAAACAATAGGAGACAAGCCTAAACTACCGCACCTAGGTAGTAGTAGCTAGTTAGGAGGCGCTAAAACCCCCGAGGACGGTAGTTAGAGTCTATATTACGGACCTATAGGAGCAAAAGGAAATCTAAGGACTTATAGGGAAAGAGATTATAGAGAGAATTGCAGTTAAAGAGGTAATTAGGGCTAAGAACGAAGGAAAAGGGGTAATTAAGCTATTTATAGCACAAGAGCAGGACAAAAAGAAGCTAGAAACATAAAAAGAATAGACAACTAAGATAGGGAAAATAGCAAAGGTCTCCTAACAGCAATTTATAATTATAGCCTATAGTATAACAAGAAGCTTTAAGGAAGAACAGGATATTAAGAGCCTATAAAGACAAAACT